TTTCCGACTGTACTTTTATAATGTTTCTGCAATGACGAGGTGGTTTCCGGGTCTCGGAGCAGTTCAATGATTTGCTGTATTTGATTGGTGTTTTGCAATAAGAAACATTCAATCATTGTATTTAATTTACTATTTTTATATAAATAAAAATTCATATTAATTAATATGTAATGACGTTGATTAAAATTTCTCTTAATAATACTTGTTTGTGAACGTGGGGTTAAACGATTTTAAATTGACAAACGAAGTTGCTTGGAAGAAGATTCCTACACAAATTTTAAACATAATCTAGAGGTTAAAGGACGAGGATATTCTAAGAGAAATAAGGATAATGTTTGTACCGACTTTAGAACTCATGATTCAAGGAAATATAAGAGAATATAAATGAACAACTTGATCAATCGGCTAAATGTGTATGTTCTACTTAAAAGAAGATTTCTTTTACCTTTCTATAATTAATGGTAAATATGCCGATTCAAAGTAATATTCACGATTCATTTAACTAATATAAGATCTAATTTTATTGAATAAATAAGAAAAATACAATTAAATTATAATGAATAAATCATTAAAATTAAAGTATTTTAATCATATTATTTAATTAAAGATACAAATAAATGTGGCTAATAAAAGTAAAAGAGAAATATCATCAACACTAACATAAAAAATAAATATAACAATGAGGACATGATGACAATTAGTTTTATCACAACACAAACGTATATATATGAGGTGATTATAGACACCTATCAATGTGAGAGAACATGTATAAGGATCCAATTCAGGAATAAATCAACAAAAAAAATTAAATAAAAACAATTCAAAGAGACGGCATTAAATTCAATCTTAAAATAGAGAAAAATATGTTATAAGAACAAAAGAATTATCATTTTTATTAGAAAATAGAAGATTTCTTAAATAAAATAATACAAATTTAAATATGTAAAAAAACTGAATATCACAATGAAGGTTTACAATTATAAAAACAATAAAATATGAACACATAATAAGATATTTTATTATTATCATTGACGCAATAAGCTAGTTACTCAATATCACACAAGAAAAAAATTAAAAATTTTAATTAAATAAACTCAAATGAAAGGTAAATATGAACAAATTTGATCACATCGATAAGCTCAGAGAGCAATAATGATTTCATTCATTTTATCCTATGGGTGGTGACACATGTCATCACCTAATTGGTTGAATAAAACTAATTAAAAAATACTGACGTAGATAGAGAAAGATGGTGTGAAAATTTAATAAATGACATGTCATGTCATATCAAAATTATTGTTAAGTTTTTAACATCGGGGTACAAAATTGAAATTTAAACTAAACATTATGTATGATTTTGAAGAAAAAATATTAGGTACTTAAACGGAACAAAAGTGATAGTTTAGGTACCAAACTTGTAATTCACCCTTTTGTTATTTCCTTAGTAATAACAATTTATTTAGTGATATGTTTCAATGTATTATATTAGCGATGTGTTTAGATGCGCTAAGTTGATTGTAAAATTTTACTTCTCTAGATAGGTTTGTAAGTATTAATTTTATAAGGGTAAAATATACAAATGGTATTTTGACTATAGGACATTGTTTTGTTAAGTAGTTGACTATTAAAAATTATAAAATGATCATTTGACTATAAAGAGTTGCTTTGTTAAGTCCTTCGACTATTGAAAGTTACAAAATTGTCATCGGACTATTTATTTTATTATAAATTCATCATTTTCGTTAAAAATTAATGATCGTCTAAGCTTGACGTTAATATGCTGACTAAGATATTATATTTGTTAAAAATTCATCATTACGAGTTTGAAACATAATGAATTATCGGTGACCATTTTGTAACTTTTAATAGTTGAAAGACTCAATAAAACAACACTATATAGTTAGGGACCATTATGTAACTTCTAATAATTGGAGGATTTAACATTGTAATATATTATAGTCGAGGGACCATTTATGTATTTTACCCATTTTATAATTAGTTTTAAAATAAATGTTGCTTCCATAAATTCACCGAATTAAAAAATTAAAAGAGTAAGTAGAGAAACATTATAAATTGTTTATGCCTTTTCTTTTCACATGACGTAGGATTCCAGTGTCGCCCGTGACTCTTTTCCGGTTTTTCCCGCCCCTGGTATTTATTTCTTTAATGTCCTCGATTATTTTACACTATTTATTACTCCCTGTACAAACGTGGCGGGACCCGTGCTCGATAAAATTTAAAAATGAATGATTAAAAGAAAGGCGGCAATTCTAAAGTCACCACCACGAGAAAAATTGTTACCTCTCACAATCATTCCTTTCATAGTCACGTGTATCTTTAAGCTTGAGCGCTGACCTGTGGTGATTTGTTCACGGTTCACCCGCCCTTAAGCCTATCTTTGCTCTCTCCGCGTTTCGCACAATTAGTTTGACTTTTAGTTCTTTTCATTATTTGCCTAAAAAAACGAATTAAATTCAAATATGCTAATATTTAATTAACTAATTATTAATTTATTGATGACATCAAACTTAAAAAATAGGAGAAGAATATGGACAATATTTTATCTTAAAAGTTAATTATTTATCCTAATCAAGTTGTAACAAGGTATTTACACGTGTTGGGACATTATTGGATAAGGATTGGTTGGAAGGGATGAGAAGAAAACGGTGTTTTTGTTTTACGACGGCCGCCCACTTGAGTCATGTATAACTGCTGGTACATTGCAAGACGGCACCTAAAGAAAGCAATTTTATTTGAAAATTCATACTAATATTTTAACACGGAATGTTGTCTAAAGCATCGAATATAAGAGAATAAATTAACATATTATTTAATACCTTTTTATACATTATTAAAATTGTATTAATATTTTTATACAATATTAAACTTTAGTCATGTATCCTACGCTTTGTCTTCACCATTGCGCAAACGAGATTCATGCATTCACAAAGCACATGTGTTTAAGTTGAAGAATTCAAAATTGTTTACTCACGGAATTAAATTTTGAATAATTAAAATGTTTATAAAATTATAAAATACAATATGTCAATGGATATAAATAAATTTAAATCAGAAATTTCATTTAAAATTATTAAAAGCTGTCTTTTATTTCGTAAATTTATTAAAAAATGTGTATAAGAAAATAAAAAAGAACCCGATAGCATAGCAATGAAAGTTTAAACTATAAAGATTAATAAAGTTAATGATAATTTTATAATAATTTAATAAATTTGTTATTATATGTGAGCTTACCACATATGCGAACATCTAGTTTCGCAAACCTCTAGATATGTGAATATACAACTCGTGCAAACTTTGAAGTATGTAAACGCACAATTCATATGACCTTGCAGACACTCGGAGCATGCCTCATGAACTATCAACAACGACTACGTGTCATTCACTAACTAACTCGTGAATATCTCTCATGATGTATGATCTATAACAATTATGTATTGATACAAGTGATCTCTTTTGATGACAAATTAATCTAAGTCATCGCTTTCTATGAAGTCCTATTAATATCAATGTCATGACAACTCTCAGTCGACACCTGTAAATGACATTATAAATAGTCATGCAAAGAGTAAGAGGACATACATGCTTCTTCTCCAAAACATCAAACCCACACTACTAGACGAACCGTTCGATCACCATCTATGATTATTGTCTACTTCACCCTTTAACAAAAATACAAATATAATTGCATCTCTATGTTATTTTAAAAATTTTAATTGAATTTTCAATTTTTAAAAACTTTTTATTAAATCAAACAAATTTTAATTAAACTCTTAAATTATTTATCCAGATTTATCACTCTTAGATATGCTAATCTAGCCAACTCTTGTTTAATTGGATCCATCGATTTGTTTTCTCTCAAATTCAACCCTAATTTAAAAGAACAAAATATTAATTAAATTTTTAAATTTTAAATATTGAGTTAAATTCAAGCTCAAACATATTATTTTTTGAGCTCGATTTGATTAGACTACCATGAAATTAACGTGCTGGTTGATGTGTAACTGTGTCATAGTTTTAGCATAAATGATGTAATCTTAAGTTTTGAAAAATAATAAATTGTCTTGAAAAATTAAAAGCAGGTCAAGTATATGGACAAAATTAAATAGAATAAAACACACAATTGGTCCTCCGACTACATGATAGTGTTTTGTCGAGTTCCTCCACTATTAAATGTTACAAAATAGTTTACTGACTATAGGTTGTTGATTTGTTGAGTTATTCTACTATTAAAAGTTACAAAACGACCATATGAATATTCATATGTTTCAAAGTCATGATTTTCTATTAAAAAATCGAATATCGTATAAGTTGGATGTTAACTTGCTGACCGAGATAAGATAACATATGATCTCATAATCTCAAAGTACTGTAAAATTCAAACTATTCTAGAATCATATTTAATCATGTCTCATATAATAGACTAATGTCTAGCTTAGAAGACCGTCAATTTTTGGAAAAAAAGATGAGTTTGGAATATATGAATAATTGAGAGACTCAACAAAGTAGCGTTCCATATTAAAATGATAATTTTATAATTATTAATAGTTGAAAGACTCAATAAAATAGTACATATAATTGGGGGACCATTTACGTACTTTATCCAATTAAATATGATAATAAAAATATAATTATGCTTATCTACGAGGGAGAAACATGTAAATTCATAAAAAGCAATAAAATTATCTTAAAATATCGAACATGTTTTAAAAGAGAACATGAACTGATAGACATGAACGTTGACGAAAAAACCGAAGCAAGAAACTAATAATAATAATAATCACATGTTTGAAATCCAAATCAAAGGAGACAATAAAATATTGAGAGAAGGCTCTCACAAGGTGCTCAAAATCAAGCTTAAGAAAAGCCCCATTTATTCCTCGTGCACTTTAATTTTCAGCTTTTTCAAACATCTCAAAACCATTTGCTCTTCCTCTTCCTTATTAAAGTTGTTCAAAGATTTTGGTTTTTTATTTATTCTCTGAAAACCCAGAAGAGAAAAGCGGGATTAAATGCTTCGATTTCCTTCATTTTTGTCCTTTGCCTCAGCCATGTCGGTTTCACCGGAATTTATGGGTCAGAAAACGGCGACGCCGGACAAGCCAAGCTTCAAGCGAACTTGTAGTTTGTTGAGTCAGTACTTGAAGGAGAAAGGTGGCTTTGGGGATCTAACTTTGGGAATGACAGGCAACGTTGAATCTAATGGTTAGCTCTTCAATTTCTTATGATTTTCTCTCTCTCTCTCTCTCTCTCTCTTTCTCTCCCTCTCTCTCTTCCTTTTTTTTATTAGTTTTTGGGTTGAGGAGGAATAGTTGAATTATAATTTCGATTGTGTTTTCTTATTTATTTATGATTTTAAACCAGCTCAATTAAGCTTTAGCTTCAAAATCATGTTTTTTTTTATAAAAAAAATTCAGATCCACAAAATGAGATTTGTATGTTGACATTTTCATATTTACAATGGCTTAAACAGTAAAAAAAGTCCTTTTATCTCTCGGTTTCTCCCAAAAACCACTCAATTTATAGCATTAAACCACGTGCGCGATTTCAAGGTTTCAGAGTAATGATAGAGATTTAAATAATGTATACATGTTTTTTAGCACAAAATTCTGTTCAGATCCCAGCAGAATCATAGGATATTTCTTTATATATGGCCTCTAGCTGTTCGGTTCTTGAAACATGAATCTTTGAACTTTAAAGGGTATTCAAGGTATTGACTTGAAAAAAAAAAACAGTATGATGCATCGACGAACTATTTATGGATATGGATATGTTGCAGTGGCACCGGAGGTTGTCCGTCCGACCATGAGTTTGTTCCCTATGGATCAGATATCTAGCGGGAATGTTGGAGGTCCGAGGAGCGTGAAATCCATGGATTTGTTCCCCCGACAAGATGGTTTTTCCATGCCGGCGGCTCCCACGGACAATGCTCCGAAAAGGGTTAATTCTATTGTTAATAGCTCGAACAAGTGTGCTGCAATGGAGCCTCAATCTGCACCGATGACTATCTTTTACGGTGGACAAGTGATGGTGTTCAATGATTTCCCGGCAGAGAAAGCAAAGGAAATTATGCTTTTGGCTACCAAGTGCAGCTCCCAAAACAATTTCAACCTGAATCCGGAAACAAACATTACTTCTAGCATGCCCGGCACCCCGAATGAATCGGGCATCGTAGTTCCCCCGACCTCAAATGGTGTTCCTAATCTCAGGAACAATGTAACAAGTCAAGAAAGCATTCAACCAGCTCAGCAGCGATCCGTTGCTGGAGGTATTCCTCATTCTCTGCTTCAGTTTTTGATAATGTAGTTACTGAAGATGGAATTCTGCTTTGCAATACATAGTTTCTTATTAGTTTTCATCTATTCGCAGATCTACCAATTGCTAGAAGGGCTTCCCTTCATCGATTCCTCGAGAAGAGAAAGGATAGGTAAGCATCTAGAGATGTAATTTATACAATTCCAAGTTTAGAGTTGAATAATTGATGTTAATATTCATATGTTTGGTTGTGCAGGATCACCTCAAAGGGTCCATACCAGGCAAGTAACTCGGCAGCCGGATCGCAATCGAAGCCCGGAAACAGCAAGCCATGGTTGGGTTTAGCAGTTGAACCACTGCAGTAGTTTAGGAATGTAGTTGATATGGAATTTTAAGGATTGTTCGAGTCTGGTATGCTTTGATTGTTGGTTTTTGCAGCAGGTTCGTCATTTATGACCGCTGTTTGGTCAGCTGTGTTTAATTTTTGGCTTCTAGTTGTTAGTTCTAAGGAATCGTTCTTAGATCCCAACTCTCCATCAAATCTGACTAATAGTTTGTTTGTAATTAGATTTTTAAAAGGAAAAAAATTAGTTGATGTATTATGAAGCATGAACTTCTTATTGGATTTATGGTTTTATTTAACGTCTTGAGTTAAATTGACATGGGATTGTAAATGAGCGAAAGTAATGGTTGTTCCCAACAGTGTCTTGGTCCGTTCCTAGTTGTTATTGAAGCATGACAATGCAATATCTGTGATAGCCAATTTATCATTATTTGTTGCCTTCAAAAGGGGCATCTTTCCTTTAAAAAATTTCTCAACAAACATGCGTATAGATACGGAAGGCAAGCAGAAAAAGGAAACCACCATAAACTATAAGTTATTTTATGATAAAAGGTATACAATTAAATATAATTATATAATATTAATATTTTTAAATAGTCAAAGATAATTAAATACTATCAATAATCTATATCTTTTAAAATTATGTGTTATGGCATTTTCAATTTTTAGATGAGTATTGAAATTTATTTTTTAATTGGTTTGATAATTTAACGTAAACAGACGGAAATTAATTTGTTGATATGTCCCATAATTTGAACTATAAATTTAAATATTCAGAATTACCCTCCAAAATTCTTTATGTTATCAACCTACACCACTAAGCCATTATCATCATATAATTTATATTCCTTTAGTCTGATTTATATTTTCATATTCTTTTAGTTGTCACGCGTTTTGCTTTGGTTGATTGCTTCCCTATCTTGCAGAAATAATAATTTTATTTGAAATTGTCGTTTTTCGATCCGATCTAATTTGATGAAGTCTGACTCTCTTATAAAATTTTGGCTCGACTTATAGAAGAAAGAACCCATAACATAAATTTTAAATTTGTAAGGGACGATTGTTCCTACCTGTCCTCCTTCGATCAATCCATGAAACCGTTGTAATGCAAACCAGCAAGAAGAGCAACCTCTCCTTCTTCACTCCAATGAGTCGGTTGATGATCGCAAGCAGATAGAAGAAGTAATTGTTAACATAGACAGTAACGATGCTGCTGCTGGCAAAGAAAACGGGAACACCTCGAAGGTTCAACAACCTTCAGTTTCATTTACTTTAAAGAACGTTGCTAAGCCAGATTCTCACTAAAATTCTCCTTCTGTTGCCTCAATCTGTAATTATTAATGTTCAAAGATGCTGTCATGATTGATTAAATTAATGAAAGGAATCACCTATCAGATACATTTACTTAACAGACATCATGTGCTTTATGATTCGAGATGAAGCTTTAAAGGCATTGAATCTCTTCGGAGCAAGAACTGAAGAAAGAATCAGCAAGGCATCACTCAACAGTTGTCTGGTAACTGAAGAAATGAATATATTAACCAGAGTGTTGTTAAGGTATGACGGCCGAAAGCTCATATATCCGAACACTGAACATGAAGCTACTTGTCTCGTATCCCACAACAGTTGAGAATAAAATGGTAATGGTTCCTACGTTTTATAAAAAGACAACGGCATGATGGGTGTCAGTATCTTTGCGCTTGGGGCAATGACGCAGCTCATGAGGTTCTAACCGAGGCGCGTCTATTGCTGGTTGAAAACTATTTCCAAACCCCCTCTTAGGCCTGGGCTTGCTCCTGGCCTTCGAGAATTTCTTGAAGGGCTCCCTTCGGGGTAAAGCCCTACAATTTCTAGTACAGTTTTATTAATATGACCCAAAAAGGCTATATTGTGTACGTGTTTTGCCTGGCCAATTTTTTTGAGTTTATTTTAGGTTGTACTAGTGCATTAAGATTTCTTGTGTTGGGGTTTCAATGAAGCAATGATGTCTCTAAATTAGAAGGGATCAAGAGTTTGATGACTAGGCCGTTAATGTTTGAATTGAATCAAATGAATTTGAATTTGAATTTTTTTAATTTTCGAGAACAACTTTTTAAAAAATAAAAATCGCATAAAAGGATTCAATTAATCTTCTATTAAAAAGCTGAACCGAATACACCATTACTGTAGATTCAAGTTTCACTGCAATGCAATGCCCCGATTATTCATTTTGTAATGATATCAACCCTATGGAAAAAACTATTTCATTATTAATGTAAAATATATTGACCGAGTTTCACGCCGATAATGTATTGGGAGTAGAGAAACAATGTTTGATGGACTCAAACAACATAATGAGGTTCACTTCTCACTGATAATGTATTGGGAGTAGAGAAACAAAGTTTGGAGGACTGAAACCTTTCTCTATGAAAAAAGGGCAACATAATGAGGTTCACTTCTTACCCTGTTTCATTACAATCCCACCGAAATTCCCTTTTCATCCTTCTTGAGTTCTCAACTTATGCTTCTTTTTTAGATATTATTATATGCAGAGATCATCTTTTGCAATTTCGATTTTTTTATCAGTATATGCGTTAAAAACTCGATATTGCGATTAAGAAAAACGTAAATCACAAGCTCAGGCTAAATTGCGAGAATCCCAGTTGAAAAGATTTGGCCTCTACTATTATATGGCGACGTTGAAAATTTTGCAGACCTTGAAGCTTTTGATCTGCGATATTCTTTCCTCTCTTCCGTCATTATTTCCCTCGACCTACACTCTTCACTGCAAAACCCTGTTTCCCCTCTGAACCAAAAAAATAAATAAAAAAAATTCCAAGTTATTAGAATTCAGATATATTCGAATTTCATGGCAAAAAAAAAATGTTGTTCTCGGCAGCTGAGTCTATAATATTCGTTATCAATTCCAACTATTTAAAAAGTATTATGTGTTTAGAGAAATGTCGAACTCAAAGGCGAAATCTAATAGGGTAGGGAAAGAGATGGTTGTTTTACCTATACATGTATATATCTTTGCCATGCAGCTTTTTCCGGCAAAGATGACAAGAGGCGAGAAAATCTGAAGTTGGGTAAACGACATCGTCTTTAGCCAATCTTGCTTCTGGGTTTTCTTTAACATCATCGTCTCCGTTGTAATAAACCTGGGTCGATGATTTCCCAGGCCGACGGCTTATCACATGCGTATAATCCTCCTCCGAATCATCGGTTCTTCCCTTGAGTCTATCAAATCCCCTCCCGGAATCAACGACGACCGCATTCGATCGGTTCAAATTTGAGCTGCAAATCGCACGGTTACGACAATCGGTAAAAGTAGACTTCTCGAGTGCAGCGACGATCCCTAATCCGACCCCACCGATGTCGTATCTCTTGGAACTTTTGGGCGATGAGCTCTTGAAATCTAAAGGAATTACGGGGTTGAAAAATCTGGGCTTGTTGCCGGAAACCAATAATTCGGACAATTTCCCGATTATCGGACGTGATTTCTTCCCTAACATGATTGGGAATCGATGTTTTGTTAAGAGGTGAGGAATTGAAGAGAAAGCGAGAGTTGTTTTTATTGTCATAAAACCATCGTCTCCACCAAATCTTAGAGTGAAGAGGAAGAGATTTATGGTTATGGTGATGGAGTGGGTGGTAGACTTAGAACATTGTTTAGGTTTTTTATATGATGATTGACGAATCATGATTCATACTTTATTACTATAAAAAGAAGACTAACTTATCAAATTCCATCACAATACATTTGTTTTTTTAATTAAATATTAAATTATTTATTAAACAATATAAGTCAAGTAAATTTCGATCAATTCGAAAATATTGAGTTTTATTAATTCAATTCAATCTAAAAAAATTAAACTCGATTCTTTATTTTATAAATTTGACTCAATTATTTTTTTAAAAATAAGTTGATTTATAAAATAAGAATCAAAAAATAAAAACTTAAATTTTTTAATAATTAGTTAATTGATTTTTAAATTTTAGTCGAGTTCATCAACTATATAAGATGTATGTGTATCACATTTGATAAATATGAAGAAATAATGTGTATCACATTGGAGAAATATAAAAAAAAATACATATATATATGTCGTATATGATTATAAAAAATAATTTAAATTTAAATAGAATATTATCATAAGATTATAAATATTTATAATCAAATATAAATAAAAACTCGAGTAAATCCACTTGACACACTTTTTTAAAATAAAATTTGAATTTAAAATAAGACTCATCTACTTGACTAATTTAATCTTTTATGAGTGATTATAAAGTAATATTTATTCAAAACCTTTCTTAATTATTAAAAATATATACATCTCAGAAACACAACTTTTTAAATCTATAATCTTTATGAAAAACAATACTTTATTTTATCATTAAATTACTCAATAAATTTAACTAATTTATTTTTTAAAAATTAATTCAACTTAATTGGATGAATATTGACCCTCTAATTTGATGTACTATTAGAAGAGTTTTTCTTATGGAGTAAGGACATACTAAGATAAAGTTGAGAGTGTAAAGTCCATAGATAGTAATTTCCTCGTATGAATTTGGAAAAATTATAACTTTCTAAGTGGGGACCAATCTTTCAATTTTATAATATATGGTCGAGAAGTGATCCAGTGGCCTATGACCCACTTACTCACTCAAAAGATTCCTTTGGCCCCTATCACCGTTTAATTCTGATACGTGGCGGAAATCTACAATTGATGTAGCCTCGCAATTATTGCTGAAACCAGCCGTTTTACTTTAGTCTTAGCCCACTGAAAACTGTGGGCCCAAATTCCTTTTTAGCAGGAAAGTACTATATCCTAATGGTTTTATTTCCATATAAAATTACTAAGCCATCCCCTTAAACGATTTTATCTATGATCTATACAAAAACATAAATTTCCAAGTACGACTTGATCTTTGATTGACTTGGTTCATTGATCGTTGATTAATTCGACTTATTGGACTATTAATTTGTTAATGGTTGATTTAATCTGTTTAATTCATTTGAGTTGAATCAAATTAAATTGATAATTTTGATTTTAATTTTTAATGTTAACTTTGATCGTGTTGATTTTCATATTTTATGTTAACTTAAATTATTGTTTTTTTTTTCGGATTTTGACCCAATAAATTATTTTCTATGTTTAACATTTTGATTTGAACGTTTATTCAATTCTAGTCTATAATTTACTGTTATTTCTGACTTCTCAGGTTAATTCAAACTTTAAATACCGTGTTATAGACTCAAATCAGTCTTCTTCATATTAGTAAATTATATAAGTGCATTCTAAGTTTATGTCTAGAATGAGATCTGAATAATATCTTTACGTAGGTATTCATCTTAGTGTAGTTCTTGTTAGAGGAAAAATGCTTCTCTTGATGCCTACGAACTGTGTAATCCTTATCTTGAGTAAATAAATCTTTTTTGTTCATAAAGGATTGTTTGATAATATAAGGTACGCGCGTCCTTTGTGTACTCCTATATTACTCTTGTGTACTGATTGAATTATGAATGATAACAACCTAATATCTAATTTACTCGTATTTTTATCTAGATCGTACGAGTGCATTGCTGCAATTACCATGTTATGATGATGCAAGTATGCTTTATGGTCCTTTTGTTGTATACACGTTTTGGACTTTGATCTTTTGTGAAAGTAATATAAATTTTGCTATTAACTTTCGATGTTTTCTGTCTTCAAGAACTTTGATATGTTTATGTGTAACTTATTTGGGTTATGACATTTATACCCTTTTTACATGTATCTAGGATTTGGGATTGTAAAGAAGAAAGTTTAGCGGCTCGCCCTATATAACTGATGTTTTCGCACTTCTATTTTAATTCTTCTATTATGGTTGGTAATCTTGCATTATGGTACAACCATAATGGCTGTTAATTCGATCATCTAATCGTTGTGTTAGCGTATAGGAGTTTCTAGGGGATCATTATCCTTTTGTTGTGTTGTCGTGGGGTAGTTGGGGCTCATTAGTTGCATTCTTTCTCATGCATAAACCATTATATTTGTACTTGTTTTCTACATGTTGATATGTCCTGTCCTATATAAGATTTATGCAACTTGTTTGAGTAGATTATTTTACAAATTTATTTATATTTTGTTTGATATTTATTATTATTGTTATATCGCACTCAACTTTCTAGTTCACTTCTCTTTTGTTTCTCTTTTTTAGATTTTCCAAGTCATAAGATGGGTCTCACATTCGAAGGTTTGGTCCGATGATTTTTAAATATAAAGGTGATTAAGTGTTTCATTTTTAATATAATGTCATAAAATACTCCTAACATTTGATTGAGTAGTCACTTTAGCTCATTTTTTTTTTTGAAGTATTTTGAGCTCTAACATTTTATTTTAGGGGAAAACTCCATAATGTTTGACTAAATAGTCACTTTAGCCCTTATTCGTTTCTTTTGTAGCACTTTTATCTCAAAGTTTCATTTTAAGGTAAAAGACTCTTATTTTAATGTGTTGACCGTTTTTAATTAATCGTTTCCATGCACAAACGGATCGTTTTACCCCAAAGTAAAACGATGGACACCAAAATGTTATAAAAAAAAGAATATGAGCTAAAGTGACTATTTAGTCAAACATTATAGATATTTTTTTATCATTATTCCTTTATTTTTCAGTCTAATTATAACCATGACATGAATTTATTTTAATTTATTTATTTGTTAAGAATTTAATGGTTTCTCAAATATGTTTTACTTTTGAGGGCCTCTTTGGTGATGGAGTGTGATTTCATTGATTTGAGTGTAATATCTAAATCGAGTCTTGAGGGCTACACAATAAATTATCACAAGTTCTTTCCATTGCAAATGATTTTTGATTATGAACCAAATAATTTCCATCTGAGAATTTTTAAATTTACGGTATATGTTTCTTTATTATAACATACAAGAATGAGTCCTTTAAAGAGGCTATAAATAGTCGAGTTTGAATCCTCATCAATAATTAGATATCTTGAGCTATTGATTAATAATTTATTCACAACTTTATTTGTTGTCTATCATTTTAACGAGTCAATTTTTCTAGTATTAAGATGATAAAACCTAGAAAATGAAATAAGATAAATGAACTATCATTAACTTATTATGATCTATATGTACAACAATATGAAATTAAATTTTAAAGGATAACTTATTCATAAAATTTAACAAATCAATTGTCAGATATCTTTATTGTCATAAAAGAGTGACTAAGTCACATCTACTATTTGTGAATGTTCTGATCAAAATTGATGTTCATGAAGGAAAAACTTTAGTTTCTTGTTTGTAACACGCACGAAACATGATATACTAATAGATTCCGAAGTTAAATATCCTTGGTAAAAAAACATGAAGCTAAGATTTTTTATGGTTGGAATGAGGAAATGAGAAAGGATGAATTCTAGAAGATCTCGAGAAGGGACAATGAGTTTTGAAAAATCAATGAAATAGATTTTACATGCGATTAAAATAAGTTATCTAAAAGAGAATCGAATATCTGATAATAAAAAGATCTCGATAAATTATGTCATATTAAAAAAATAAGTTGAATCAAAATTAGATCGTAATTGAACAAAATGAAAATATACAATTAAGGTAGAATACCTCACTTGATATAACTAAAGATCGTTTTCAGCCTTAGGAAAAAAGATGATCTCCTTAGTCTAAAAATACCTCACTTGAATGTCATTAGCTTATTGATATATTTTGTTAATCATACACAACTTATCTTTTGTTGTCAATTTATTATTAAAATTTAACTTCTATACAATTAAAAGACATTGAAATAAGGTCAATCATATTTCATTATCATCAAGGTCCAAAGACATGAAATTGTTATCTAGAAAAAGGTCACTCATATTTCGTTATCCCCTACCAATCCAAAGAAATAGAGTTGTCTAGAAAAAGGATAATAGATTTTAAGAACAAGAAAAGGACAATGCAAAAATACTCGCTTAAGTATTAGTGAATGTATCTAGAACTAATACATAGTGAAACAAGTGAATGAATTTAAAACTTACTAAAACAAGAGTAAACTTATATAGCACATGATGAATTTCTTCGTTAATTAAGTTTTGTGATATATCAACCATATAACAGTTATACCCCAAAATGATGAAAAGTGTTTTGGATAAACAACTCAACATCTTTCATAGAAGGTGGTTAATCCTTTACATTTATATAGATGATTTCATCGAGTCTATCTCAACATAGGCAGGGTTATAAAATAATTAAGAACGTTAAATCAAATAAACTCAATTTCTCAAATAAAGTTCGATGAATTCATAAAGTTCGTCTCACTGGAACTACTTAAATATTAGACTATAAATTTATTAAGAGTGATAATCTCAATCTCACGAGTCAAAGAATTCATCAAATCTATCTCTCTATGACCATTCAAGTTTTGAATTATAAATATATTAAGAGTATACAAAATAAAGAAAATATTAGAGACAAATTTCACCCAAAATACTATATAAAACTTTGGAAAAACAAGTATCCAAGTAATATGTGGTATTTTGCATTATTGAAGATTATACGTCATAAATTAATTTTAGGACGATAATCGTGTCCAAAGAATTTTTCGATGAAATTTATCTTTAATTTTGGAGAC